GCACACAAAATTCCAATTTTTTTCCCCATGCTCCAAGCCATTCCCCCATGGTCCTGTCCTGCAGGTTGGGCTCCCTACGGTCTTTGAGTTCCAACTCTTTGGCCGCGCAGGGGGAGGATGATGACTATGATGACGTCTCGGATCGAGGCAGGGCAGAGCTTTTTTGGGACGCTTGAAACAGGGTGTTGGTCCAACATGGTCCAATGAGTCCAAAATTTCTATTTTTCTTGGGGAAAAGTTGGAGCCAAAAGACCAAGAAAATTTCAAAAGCATCGAAAAACCGAGTGGTTGTCATGGTTGATGTTTCGAATCCAAGCGCCAGGGATGGGCCTTGGGATGGGCATGCCCATGACTGGCGTGCCCATGCCCGGCCCCGGACGGGAAGCCTTGAAGGCGCCGGCATGGTTGAGCCATGTTGAGCCATTAATACCTATGCTGGGGGTTATACTAGCTTGGATTCTTGGGGATTAATGATCTAACCAGAACTAACACATGATAGGGATATCTACCAACCAGTATAGTGGGATGGGTTTTGGGTCACATTTTTTAGGGCGCTCCAAATTTTATTGATCACGAAAGCTCGCTTCGCTAGCTGAGTCCCTCTTGCTTTAGCAAGCTCCTGGGGGGGCTGGAAACTTCATAGTTAACTACCTCCCCCCAAAAATGTTAAAAACATTAGTTCAAAGAAGTTTTATAAATTCAAATTATAGCAGTATAACAACTCAATAATTATTTGCAAAGAAAACATAACAACTAACCACAATTACCTCATTCATTCCACAAAATCATCACTGCTAACCATATCATCATCTCATTCATTTTCATAAATCAAAACAACCTACAATCTCTATACCTCATCCATTTTATAGAAATCATCACAGTCAATACATCATCACCTCATCCATTCCATACCCAAAACAAAACAACCAAACAACAAACAAAAAAACACAAACCAAGCAAAGCGCAACATAAAAAACAAAACAATAGACAACAATACAGATACTTCCTTAGTCTTTAATAATCCTATCTTACAAACCCATAACTCTAATAATATTATCATTCAAATTATGTAAGTAGTACATGACTTCAATAATTACTAATTCAAAATGAAATGCTTGTATTCCTATTATACTGTCTTTATCATTGTCTTCATCTATATCTTCCTGTATTTCTTCAACTGCTTTATCTAATACATCATCTATATTATCTTTATCTACGTATTCATCAAAGCCATTCATAAAATAAATATCTCTATAACTAAATTCATTTTCTCCATATTCCTTTTCTGGGAGTTTTGCCACTAATTGAACTTCAATATCAAGTTTAACTCTATAATTTACATCATCTTCTACTTCATAAATTAAAGATAATAATTCTTCTTTTTCTTCTGTTATTATGTCTTCTATACTTTTTAAACTAAATGGCACTCCCTCTCTCATAATACAGTATTCAATGATATATATATATATATCTTTTTTCTTGATTTCAAATGTCTTGTTATTTTAGGACCAAGTCTTGATATTTTATATTGTGCTGTATTCTCTTCAATGCTTCACTATACTTTACTTTCAAATATTTCGGGTCTCCAATTTTTTTCCGAATCAATTTTACTCAACACATCAACAGGTAAATCCTTCACACAATCCATCCCACTAATATACTTAAATAACTATTCTTTAAGTATATATTCTATGATTAAAATAAAGCATTCTTTTGAAAACTACTTAAAGATAAATTAACTAAATAAAATATATACTATTATATGATGAAAAAAGTTATAGACTATTTATCGAGTAATGATTTAGCAGAAATACCAAAGAGAGGAAGGAAAGAATTGAAGTCCATAATCATAGACAACAGGAAATTCAGATACAACAAAGACAAACCCATATCAAATGTCTTGACCAAGAAACTACTCTCAGTAAAGAACACTAATGAATACAGAAGTTATGCTATGACAAAGGCAACAGATGTTGTAAGTAGAGAAAGGGTTAGACAATTAATAACCAAACACGCAATAAGAAATAAATTTAGGGTCAGAGATATTCAATCAGCATTTAGAAGATATGCTAATTCAATAGTTTTAGAAAACAAGCACTTTCAAGGAGAAAGAGGATTAGAAATGATTGCTCACCAAAAGCAAAGACTATCATAATTTCTAAGCAATAATAGAAACATGAAACTTAACATAAGAACGGAAGGATTATTTGAAAAACCTGAATATGATGATGGAGGAAATGAATTAGGAAGTCAAGAACTTGTATATGCTTTACCATCAACATATCATCCAATTCACAATGAATATGAACTGACACAAGCATTAGAAGATAGTGTTATTCAAATCCGATTACAAATACAAAATTTGGAAGGTTCAACATCTAATTTAAGATTTAGAAAGATTTTATCAATAACTATTCACTATGACAAATTTGACCCAACAAGAGCAGGCAGTTTTATAGAATTACCAGAATGGATTAAATCAAAGAAAGCTTGTATCAACATAAAAAATAAAGACCAAAAATGTTTCAAATACTGTATTCAATCCGTAGTCTATGACAAAATTAGCAAACATCACCCAGAGGAAATGTTCCACTATAATAAACTAAACGATGATATTTTGAACTGGGATGGTGTAAAATTTCCAACTTGCAATAGGGACATAGACAGATTTGAAGAGAACAACAACTTAATTTCAATAAATGTTTTTGAAACTGATGACTGCCTAAATGATAATAAAATAATCATACATAGAGGCACTAAAAATAGAAATGCTAAATATGAAATTGATTTATTAAAAGTCTATGATAAAGGTAATAACTATCACTATGTATTAGTGAAAAACAAAAGTAGATTACTTAACTGCCAAAGCAACAAAAATATCAACAAGAAACACTACTGCCATCATTGCTTAAACCCTTCTCATCAGAAAAGGCATATAAGAACCATCTTGAAAAGGGATGTATGGCATCAGAAGGACAACAAACAAAGATGCCTGATAAAGCCACTTACATAGAATTTCAAAAGCATAATACCAAATTGCCTTGTCCTTTTGTAATCTATGGTGATTTTGAATGTCTAACCACTAGCTCTAACAATGGTATAAAAGGCACATATCAGGAACATAAACCGTGCGGTTATATGTTGAATGTAGTAAGAAGGATTGATAATACATGCCATCCATACTTATACAGAGGTGAGGATTGTATGAAAAGTTTGTAGAACAACTGACTGAAATTAAGAAAGATATATTTGAAAAGATGAATGTTAATAGACCAATGGATGAATTAACTTACGAACAAAAGACAGAATTTAGAAACGCGACCCACTGCTCTATATGTAATAAGAAATTTCAACCTGATGATACAAAAGTCCAAGACCACTGCCACTTCACAGGCAAATACAGAGGTGCGGCGCATGTAAAATGTAATTTGGATTATTCATTTAGGTATTTTAAGATCCCTATTTTCTTTCATAATCTTAAAAATTATGACGCTCACTTAATCATAGCAAAAGCAAATGAACTAAACATAGAACTAAACCAAAACAAAAGAATAGATGTAATAGCACAAAACAGCGAAAAGTTCATAACTTTTTCATTTGGCGCTTGTCAGTTTAAAGACAGTTTTGCTTTCTTAACAGCATCATTAGATAAATTAGTTAGACTGAACAAATATGAAGGAAATGAAAAGATTAAAAACTGGGAAACTCGTTTTAGATATACAAGCACTAACCCATACATTAAATCAAAAACTGATTTGAATTTACAAACTGAGAAAGGGGTATATCCCTATGACTACATGAACTCATGGGAGAAATTCGATGAAACAAAACTACCAAAAAAGGAAGATTTTTACAGTAAATTATATGAAGAAAACATAACTGACAAAGACTACGCCAGAGCAAATATCGTATGGAAACATTTTGACATTAAAAACCTTGGTGAATATCATGATTTATATTTGATGACTGATGTATATTTACTAACTGATGTATTTGAAAATTTTAGGGACATGTGCTTAAACTATTATGGATTAGACCCAGCATATTATATTACTTTACCTAACTATTCTTGGCAGGTGAAGAATACCTTTCTCGACTACGAGACTGACTGCACACCGCTGGGACAGAGGCTGACCGTTCGTTGTAAATGTGATCTATTTATAGGTGCTCCTCTTGTAAATTTAAGACATGTAAGAGTTTGCGAACTGGAAGCCATGGTCTATTTGGTTCGATGATTTACCTCTTAAACATGGTGATTTTCCGGAGTTATGTTGAATTACCAGAGGGTAAGCAACGATTTTTTACAAAAGGTGTGGATTCACACCAACTCATGCTGGGCATGCCGCCTGTGAAATCCATGGCGTTGGTGAGCACTTGCATGGTTGTTTACAAGCCACAAGCCACTCACATTTGCGACCTCCGAAATCATGGATTTATCCACTGTGTGATATTTTACAGTCTCTGTTTCTCAATCATAGAAACCATTGACCCCCCCAAATTGGACGGGGTAAATCTAGTCATGAACAGATCGGTGGGTCCGTTGTTTGCTGATTGTTCAATAATGCTGGCAGTAAATCTTTGCCGTTTTCTTGGTCCGTTTTCGATCCGCTTACTAGTTTCCCTTTCCTCTTGGAAGGTATCACCATGGTGTCCCATGATTTTCTTTATGCAGCCATGCAGATTGGTTAAACATCCAGCAATTGTTTGGGTTCAAGTATTCCACTTCTACAATTTCCTAATATTTCCTATAAATTTTTATTTTGCTGGTCGAATCCACATTTTTGTTGACAATGTCACCATTTACCGCCATTCGTATAGATGTTTTTCCCATTAAGAATCACCATACATTGGGTAAAGTCCGAAACTTTACTAGTGAAATCACCATTTCTAGCTATATCCATAAACTGGCCATAGATTGGGGCAATCCACCATATTTTTATTCTTCAAATCAGATGCTTGCAGGATTTTGCAGGTAAAGTCAGCATTTTCATCCATTTTCCCTGGTTAGATCCAGCAATATCCAGCATCATCCAGCATTTTGGTTGCCGAAAAATCACCAAAACGTCCCGTTGATCCGCGTTCCGCGGGTCGGAGGCTGCGACCGATTTGCTCCGCCGCGGGGCGCTTGGACGCCTTGGGGGACGAAGAGGAGAATATTCGCATCATATTCCTTTTGGCTGGGGTTGGCTGGGGAATTTTTTAGCATATCATATCATTGTGATCTAATATAACTGCAATAGAGATGTCTTAGGATATATATATATAATATGATGTGTGTGTATATATATATATCCATGGACCCCAGTGTTTTCAGCTAATACGACATGTGATAAGCGTCCGGTCATCATGGCCAGCTAGAAGATCCCTGAACTAAATGGAGGTTTTGATGGGAGTTTTGATGGACAAATCTACAGACGGTCAATCTTCCATGCAAACTGTGAAATTACCAGAGGGTAAACCTGGAGGTGTTCAGATGTTTTAAGCATGATGATAGATGGATTTTAACCATCAACACATCAATAGAGGAATTTTAACTATCAAAACACAATCTATATATGGGACTATTTAAGCATCAAGACCATAAAAATAAGGGTTGGGTAGTAGCTTGACACTTTAATCTCTCGCCATAATTGAAGATAGACAGGTGAAATGACCATTTTCGTTGGATTTATCCATCAAACCCAGAGGTCTCACCGAGAAAATATGGGGAAGTCATGATATTTGAATCAAGCAACAAGTGATATATGATATATGTATACACCAACCAGAAGGACAAGAGGGCATCCAAGATGGGCAATTTTTTTTTTCCCCTTTCAGTTCATGACTTGCCCCTAAAAATCAACATGGAACCTCAACAAGAGGATTGTAAGACAAGTTTCCTGCTGCAAATGACATTTTTTTGCACTGTTCGTGTTAGTTTTCGGAGGTGGATTGGTCAATGAAAGGTGTTTGCTAATGGTTTGGTGTACATTGTACATGTATATATATATATGTTCTATCCGTATATTATATATATATCACATTGAAACATGTTACTGGTAATAGACCCATAAAAGTAGTTGTAGTCGAGCCAAGAAAAAATGGATATCCCTAGATGATTTATTTTCGGCGAGATCTATCCGACTATGGAACCGGGTTTTTTTACCTATAGCTGAACACTTAGCTAAGGGGATTTCAGATGGGTGGATGACTCTGCCAGAATGCAATGGGATTTTTTTTGTACACCACGTTTTTTTTGGGATATCTTCGGGATCTCCACGAAAAAATCACCACAATCGTTTGTAAGAACGGCATAGGGGATACACGACATGACACGGTGAAATCAGCGGCTGAAGCCAGTACGAAGAGAAAGCACGCCACAACGGAGGAACCACTCGACAAAAAAGGGAATAGATGGCATCAAAAGTTTGCGGATGCTGAAAGATAGGCTATGCCTTGAGGTGAAAGAATCCGAGAATATAAATTGTGTATGACCCAGGGGAAAATCTATAGGACACCATATTTGTTTGCCCATGATTTCTGGAAATTTCACCTAACATTTCCCTCAAACCCATTCGACGAGTAGCATTTTTGAAGATGTCAGAGCTTGTCGTCAAGCGCCAAGTGACATGACTAGGAGACCGGTTTGGGTGCACTGGCTTCTTCCATTGCTCCTGTCTCTTGGCACTCGTGTTTTGCCGATCCCAAGGATGGGTTGCAAGGCCCTAGGAACGCAAAGCCTTGAGGATCCCAGTTGTCAGGTTGTCAGCCATCAATTTCCCAGTGATTTAACGGTATCTTGGTAATGTTGTCGACTGATTAGTGTGAGGGCCCCCCCCCTAAACAATTTTAGTCTACTCAATAACTGACCATTTTTTTACGGCCCCCCCCCTCAACATTTTTTTTGCATATATATATATTATATTTAATTAATTTCAATTTACTTTCAATTGATTTTCAATTGATTTCAATTTATTTCAATTTACTTTCAATTGATTTCAATTTACTTTCAATTGATTTCAATTTACTTTCAATTGAAATCAATTTACTTTCAATTGATTTTCAATTGATTTTCAATTGATTTCAATTTACATTCAATTTACTTTCAAGGGTTTTGTTTTTTTTTTGACCCCAAAAGTTGTTTGGCACAATAGAGTGAGTACCATCCAAACATTCATATTATTGAGTAACTGAGCCACTCATGAGGTACCCCCTTGAAAAATTGTTTGGATGCTGTCTTTTAATAAGGGTTTAATACGGCATCTAATTATTTGGAAAACCTTGCATTTTAAAGCTTTAACACAAATATGGCTTTCTAAAGTAAATGGACCAGCTCTACTCAAAGAAAGGTGGAGAAGGTTTTGATTTTTTTCAACCCCAAAAGTTGTTGGGCACAATAGAGTACCATTCAAACATTCATATTATTGAGTAACTGAGCCACTCATGAGGTACCCCCTTGAAAAATTGTTTGGATGCTGTTTTTTAATAAGGGTTTAATAAGGCATCTAATTATTTGGAAAACCTTGCATTTTAAAGATTTAGCACACATATGGCTTTCTAAAGTTTAAATGGACCAGCTTTACTCAAAGAAAGGTGGAGAAGGTTTTTGATTTTTTTCAACCCCAAAAGTTGTTGGGCACAATAGAGTATCATTCAAACATTCATATTATTGAGTAACTGAGCTACTCATGAGGTACCCCCTTGAAAGATTGTCTGGATGCTGTTTTTTAATAAGGGTTTAATAAGGCATCTAATTATTTGGAAAACCTTGCATTTAAAAGCTTTAACACAAATATGGCTTTCTAAAGTAAATGGACCAGCTCTACTCAAAGAAAGGTGGAGAAGGTTTTTGATTTTTTTCAACCCCAAAAGTTGTTGGGCACAATAGAGTACCATTCAAACATTCATATTATTGAGTAACTGAGCTACTCATGAGGTACCCCCTTGAAAAATTGTTTGGATGCTGTTTTTAAATAATGGTTTAATAAGGCATCTAATTATTTGGAAAACCTTGCATTTTAAAGCTTTAACACAAATATGGCTTTCTAAAGTAAATGGACCAGCTCTACTCAAAGAAAGGTGGAGAAGGTTTTTTGATTTTTTTCAACCCCAAAAGTTGTTTGGCACAATAGAGTACAATCCAAACATTCATATTATTGAGTAACTGAGCCACTCATGAGGTACCCCCTTGAGAAAAATTGTTTGGATGCTGTTTTTTAATAAGGGTTTAATAAGGCATCTAATTATTTGGAAAACCTTGCATTTAAAAGCTTTAACACAAATATGGCTTTCTAAAGTAAATGGACCAGCTCTACTCAAAGAAAGGTGGAGAAGGTTTTTGATTTTTTTCAACCCCAAAAGTTGTTGGGCACAATAGAGTACCATTCAAACATTCATATTATTGAGTAACTGAGCTACTCATGAGGTACCCCCTTGAAAAATTGTTTGGATGCTGTTTTTTAATAATGGTTTAATAAGGCATCTAATTATTTGGAAAACCTTGCATTTTAAAGATTTAACACAAATATGGCTTTCTAAAGTAAATGGACCAGCTCTACTCAAAGAAAGGTGGAGAAGGTTTTGATTTTTTTCAACCCCAAAAGTTGTTGGGCACAATAGAGTACCATTCAAACATTCATATTATTGAGTAACTGAGCCACTCATGAGGTACCCCCTTGAAAAATTGTCTGGATGCTGTTTTTTAATAAGGGTTTAATAAGGCATCGAATTATTTGGAAACCTTGCATTTGAAAGCTTTAATATCAAAAAAAATGGAAAAACTGAAAAACATTTTTTTTGTTAATTTAAAAATACATTCAGAAAATAGGAAAATAATAAAACAAATGTGAATCAAAAAAAAACTGAAAAAATCTGAAAAACTTGCCACAATAGAGGCCCCCCCCCACAAACATCAAGGAACTGCATAAGGAGGAAAAAAATTGCCACAATAGAGTACCATGCTACTAATCGGGTGCCAACATTATTTTTGATGAAACCCAGGTTGAAGAGCTCAACTTGCCAAGATGTGAAGTCCGGATTTTCCCCAAGCTTCTTTTATTGATTATATATGAATATATATATATGAGATTATATGAGTATATATGATTATATCATATCCCATGATCTAACATGATATGTATATATAATGTATCTCTATCTATAGTTTTGGTATATCCCGAGAAATCGGGATTTCCCCCAAACCAGGCCATTTTTCTCCAGACATGGGGTCGTCCTTGCTGAAGGTGCCGAGCGTGATTTCTCCCAATAGTGCTCCACCCGGAGTGCGCGAGCCTCAGTCAAGGGGATTTAATCCCTGAAAAATGGGGAGAATTACTAATATATTTCAAATATCCTATGTTTCTAATAATTTAATAGGAACATCATCTGGCTCTCAATGCGATTTAACCAACAAAGATACGGGTTTAAAACCAACCACAGTGGGAATACAGTGAAGATAGTGGAATAGATAACGAACGGCGTGATATCGGTTTGTTCGGAAATGGGTACCCGGTAACCCCCCCCAAAAAAATTGAACACATATTACGGGGCAAATGAAAAACGATGATACCCTCTGCTTATTTAACATAGCCATGGTATAGATGGCCCATAGAAACTCAAGTTTACCTATTAAAAACTGTGATTTTCCATGGCAAACTGTTAGTCATAACCAGATGTTTTTTTTGGATTCTGGGGATGGGGATCGGTCATAGATCTTGAGCATTTGGCTGTTTCTTACCATTCACCGGACTCACTCCAAAGATATCCGCAAACTTTGGGAATCAATGGCGGCACCACTTCAGCAATTTTTAGTCATCAAAATTTTCACCAACTCCAACTCAGCCTATCCGCCTTGGTTCCCACTCAGCCTATCTTCATCCTTTGTGCTGCGGTTACCAAATGTTACCAAAGTAAGTGACTGGTTGGGCTGTTGGTGTTTGATCCTCTGAAGCTAGGGGAGATTTGCATCACATTGGGGGCTTGCCGGGGAGCCTGCTGCATGCCTGGTGGCATGCCTGGTGCGCAGGTGGAAAGCTGCAGACGTCAATAGAAATCATCGTTTACTACTGGGGAATCATCACCAGACCCAACAAAATTAAAGGTTGGGGATGGTTGGGGAAATTATTGATTGATCCAGGTTGCTGTTGTTCCAACTTCCATCCATATTTCCGTTTCTATCCATTTCTATCCATTTCATCTGAAAACATGTCAGCCGACTGTATTCAACACCTTAGGTCCCCTGGCAGCGACAGTTTGCGCAGACGCGATCTTGCATCAGGTGTGGCCAGTGGATAGCCGCCTGGGGTCATGGTTTTTTCTTGCATCCTGGGCCTGAGTCAATATTGTAGCAACTCGTAGAAGGGATAGAACCCTTGTGTCACCTTTTCTCTCTTGTGGGGGTTACTGCATATCTTGAACCCTTGTTGAGTAATTGAGGGGAATCATCCCAATGAATACAGCTTCCTGTTCAAAAGGGTGTCCCTTTTCAACAGACCCGGGGCTTTGTGAATCCTGGGTCAATGTTACAGCAAGCCTAAACTACATAGAAAAGTTGTACACCTGGAATTTATGAGGTGACATCCATAGCCTTTGGTAATCAACCTGGCACTGGACAATCCTCGACAAAGATCTCCAAAACAAAATGTAATGGATTTTATCAAGATAGCTGCAGGTTTCCCACTGCCATGTTTGATACACGATTGTGCACACCCCTTTCAAATAGGGACACGTTGGCATATCGGCCAAGTAGCGAATCTCACTAACCCTTTGTTAACTTGAGAGATCGGAGAGGTTTTTTAATTCTGCAGGCGCAGCAGGCTCTATTTAGCCACGGCCCAGATCCGAATCTGAGGGTCAAGACAAGTCTTGTAGATCATGCAACAGTTGATACCACCCGGTACCGAATCTTCACTAAGTAGTGTTTGTACAGCTGTAGAAGCACCATACGATGCATGTGGTTGTTGTCAATAATGCGATTGCCAAACATGAATGAAAGCGGAGTGGTCATATCCCTGCGGATAGAGGCCGTGGACCAATATATATATATACATTTATATATAATTATATGTATAATTATATATATATATATATGTATACAATGTGCACATACATACATATAGCACATAATACATAATATATATATATATGATTGCATGTGTGTTCATGTGTATATATATATATATGTATACATATATGCATGTGTAAGTGTATGTGTATTTGTATCTGTATATGTACAGACTGTACCGGTACATGTATATCCATGTGTATATGTGTATATATGTATATACATGTAGAAAAACAACACGTATCTACATGTAAATTAATTCTTATTGACTGTTGATTGCTGGTTGCCCATCATCGTCACCTCCTTGTTTTCGGTTGGACCATTCAGCCCAGATGGAATGGCAAATCTCTTCACGGTCAAGAACACGCAGCTTGCTCACATGGATACCTGAGGGTTGGCGAAGCCTTGAGATGATTCCTACTACTTGTTAATTCAACATGAAACTCCAAAAACTTGGTCTTGAAATCGATTTTCGTTTGGATCTTGGCATTTTTAGGTCCCATCTTAGATTGAGGGGGTGCAGTGGGGCTAAGATTCGACATGGGATTTCGCGTAATGGACGGATCAAAAAGATCTGCCATTTGCCAAGCCGGAATGGGGGATAGAACGATTTTGGCCATTCCTCCAGAGCGTCCAGAGTCAGCCTGATATCATGAAGCAGAGATGGCTATGAATTGATGTTCACCTTAAAGTAGAGGTTGACGCCAGCTCATTCCATACTCAAAGAACCTCAGATATTTGGGTTTGTCTGAAAATAGGGTACCCTACAATCCCATGGTTAATCATCATTTATCCATTAAAAACTTGTTCTTTTGGAGGTGATTCTTCGGAAACCAGCCACGTTTTCCTTGCTCCAAGTGAAGCGGCTCTCAGGTTCATCGAGTGTGAGGACAGGGGCATTTCGGGTCACTGGGGGCATGCGTGGGGGAGGTGCAATTTGAAATGAGGGAGGATCATGGAGGATCCATCCAGTCCAGATCCTCCTAGATCCCTCCTATCCAGAAATCCATTGATGGAGCGAACAATCTTGGTTTTTGCAGCCTAAATTTCCTATTTTTGTTTTTGTTGTTTCAATGGTTTTTTCCTCAACATACGCCTTTCAACATTTGAAAGACCAAGTGAAGTCAATCCAGCATCATATTGATAAACTCTGGTTGATTAATGGGAGCCCTACCAAAGCGACAAATTAAATGGTGTCCCTTTTCAACAGACCCGGGGCTTTGTGAATCCTGGGTCAATGTTACGGCAAGCCTAAACTACATAGAAAAGTTGTACACCTGGAATTTATGAGGTGACATCCATAGCCTTTGGTAATCAACCTGGCACTGGACAATCCTCGACAAAGATCTCCAAAACAAAATGTAATGGATTTTATCAAGATAGCTGCAGGTTTCCCACTGCCATGTTTGAGTACTGGATGTTATACTATTGGGAAAACAACCTATTTTTACTTTACATATCACATAGTGCAGGCACGATCGAACCAGACTTAGGATCCATGTTAGTAACTGGTCGTTTTTGGGACATCCATAGGAAATATAGGAACGGGCTTCCACAGAAAATCCCTGCAGCTATCCCCAGCCCCATCAGAATTCCGTCCTCAAAATACCCTCCAGCAAACTGACCCCAGGAGATGGAAAACATCCACCAGAAATGTGGATCATATTTTTCTGAATTGGGAAACTCGTGGCTTTTTCCATCTCCATTTGCCTTGTCAAAAAGCACAGGAAATGGATTTCTACAGTGGACTATATATATATACACACACATCTATGTATATATATATATATATACACGTACGTTCAATTGTTTCAATTGCAGTATGTGGTTGGTTTCATACCACCATTTTTGCTGGTTAATTTATCACAATTTATAGCAATTTATTTACAGCCTATTTTCGCATTTCAAAAAATGTAATTATCCAAGATGCAGAGGTAATCCTCACATTTTGTTGGTTAAATCACCATTTACAGCCATATCCGTATGAATGTTTCATTCAACATCGCCATATGCTGGGGGCAATTTTAAGTCCCAAATGGCCCAAATCCAGTATGTTGGTGAAGTCCCATTGGTCCCATCCCCCCATAAAAATCACTGGTTAAATCAGATGTCCATGTGAAGGTTTCCTAAGTCATAGGGGTACCCATCAATCATCCATGATTATGACTATTCCATCATTATTTCATGGATGGTTTCCTGAAATGGGGTATATTTTTCATGGGATTTCATCCAAATGTTCACGGGATTTTCATATTTTCCATGAAATAAACCATCCAACCATCCAGCTGGGGCACCTCCATGACTATGGACCCCCCCCCTCCCCCCGCCCAGGCCCCGAACGCAGGATCCCAGCGCCGAGGCAACCTCCCTGCGGGCGGTTCACACCGCCGCAGGACGTCTGGATACCATGTGGAGAGACGAGGAGGTGCCGTGGTCCGGTGATGTCCGGTGGTCCACTGTACCGTTCTGGTGCAGTTTTCACCTAGGATTTTATGGTGATATGTGGTGATCTAAGGGAAAACGTGTGGGGAGAACTATGGCACTATGGTGCTATTTTGCTAAGTGCTAATGATCCTTAAGCAAGTTTCAATGGGAATATATGGGGGAAAATATAGTCCAAGATAGTCCAAGATTTGGGTGGAAGAATTATAATTAATCCACCAATTGGGATAAGAATCTATAATTCTATAATCAATAATCACTAATGTTGGGAAAGCAATAGTAGACCATCCCGAATTTCACGATTTTATGGATGGTATAAACAATCATAATCAAAATATGGGTGGTTTATATTTTGTTCGGACTTGCGATCACCAGTTTTCTGGGAAGCAGTTGCAATCGATGGGATATATTTTTTTAAAAGTAAATGTCAGTGTCTGGGTTGTTGGTTCAGCTATGTAGATATAGAAACAGATAAAGTCCCAAAATGATTATGTAACATTATATATATACTGCATATGTATATATGTAATGCATATTAGGAGTGCGTACGTATATGTTGCAATATATATATAATGATATGTATAGTTAGATACCCTGTACATAACTCCCTATACGAAAAGAGTAGAGAAGCCGTTCGGAAGCTTGGTTTTGCCAACCCTCACCAGCAGGTTCTATTTATATAGTGAGTCCCAGTTTTTTCATGGACATGAGATTTTTAGAGGCTATGGGACACACCCAGTGATATTGCTCAGAGATGCACGCCGTGCTTATCATCCACGGTTTTCATGCACGAACTGCGTGGGTTTGGGGAGATGTTCGGGTGCATGAGCTTTTCACTTGGGTGACCATATCACTGTAAGTGGTTTCAAACTGTGGCTAGATGTGGCTAGTGAGTCCCTCAAATGGCGTATCCCGTCGTTCCGAAGTGGATTTTTTTCCTAATCGTAGTTAAGTAGCTGGATTGTTTCTATTCGATGTGGTCATCCAACTCGGTTATCCCAGTTATCCCTTCAGCTGGATCCACCAACAGCTTCCTAGTTCGGGTGATGAAAAATCCAACTGTCGCAGGACCGTTTTGACTGACCAGAGGCCCCGAATACGGTCGGGGCTTGGTGAATTTACCCAGCGATACTTTAACACTTGAATCTCTTGTGATACATAGGTTACTCTCTGCAAAATACGACTTGTTTGCAGGATTTTGCAGGGTATCCAAAGTCAGCCATATGAAAAACACGACACTTGACCTGGCAGAAACCATGAAAAACCATCCTGTGTTCATCCATTTTTGGGATACCCAGTCTGACTTGACCCATTTTTTTGACCAATTTTTTTTTGCTTACCTTTTTTGTTGACAAACTGATCACCCTGCCTATGGTGACCTGTCTGAATCCAGGCCGAAAGGCCGAATGCGATCTGGCCAACAGCTGGTGTTCAACAGACCCTGGTACCCTGTGGCCTTCGGCCCCTTCAGCTGGTTCCTGGTGCATTTTGGCAGATTTGAAAAACCAAACCCTGGCTGACCCTATCAAAGATGTTGATGCCTGGATCGAGGGAATCACCAAATCGGCATGTTTTTTCATGATGATTGTAGCTGATTTTCCTAGGCATTTGCTGAATTATGCTACAGACATGGGACCAGAGGGTGCCAGTTTGCGGCATTTTTTGAAGGTAAGCGTGTACCGAGGCTTTTAAGAGCTGCGAACTCTCTCAGATTTTTGGACTTCTCAAGCGACATTCACTGCTTCAGATAGTTTCTTGCTGTAAATCATATGAATGGTGGTTTCTCACAGATTCCAAAGACCGTCCAAACATGATGGTGATACTAGTGAGGAAACCAATGGTTTGGGGGTATCCCAATGTCAAGAAACAGATTAATAAATACTGTAATTCCCCTGTATTTTTAGTTATAATATGCCGAACGTGGGGTTCAAAACATGGGGTCATTATATCACAAACGGAGTTCAGTAAATCCGAAGAAATTGGCAACGCTGGTAAAACATGCCTCTGGTGTCCCGGCATTTAATAAGCAACTAAAACAGTTCGGATTTACATCATTATAATGATCCGTTTCAAAAGGGTATGAAACGACTCAAAAAAATGGACTTAAACAAAGCATGACAAATGGGGATGGGTCAATACCTATAGATACATTTTTAGTGGGATGAACATCCATTTACCAGCTATTTTGGGGTTCACTAGGTACCGGTTTTGACCCATCCCCAAATGAAGGCCATTGGTTTGTTTCATGTTTTACTCTTTTCTGGTCGCCACGAGGTGACAATAGTTGCCATTTCGTCTCGTGTAACACACTGTTGCCACTTGAGAAATGACAGAAATGGTGTATTGGAGCTGGCGTAGAGGAGCATTGGTCTGGCATTTTACACCATTCTATTAGTCTTTAAAAAAATATATTCCATAATAGAATATATATATATATTTTTTTTGGCTCGATGAATTGTGATATGACTATATATATATATTTGCTCTGAGTTATGACAGATTGTAAGCTGGAAATGTACTGTATATATATATAGGTTTCATAGTAGGGTCGTGGATTCGGAGAAAACCAGATGTCTACATTAAGCTCTTTATTTGGAGGGTGGGGCAGGGCGAACAGACAAAGCGCAATATATATATACACTGCGGATTGAACGCGCAATGGCGGAAATTTTCACATCAGCCACTCAGCCACTCAGCCACTCAGCCACTCTGAGTGACTGAGTGGCTGAGTGGCTGCTCCAGCGACTATGGCAGAGTGGCTGAGTGGCTGAGTGGCTGCTCCAGCCACTCTGGCGGAGTGAGTGGCTGCTCCTCCAGCCACTCTGGCAGAGTGGCTGAGTGGCTGCTCCAGCCACTCTGGCAGCGACTGTGGCAGAATGGCTGAGTGGCTGAGTGGCTGAGTGGCTGCTCCAGCCACTCTGGCAGAGTGGCAGAGTGTCTGAGTGGCTGCTCCAGCCACTTTGGCAGAGTGGCTGAGTGGCTGAGTGGCTGCGTCAGCCAATCTGGCAGAGTGGCTGAGTGGGCAGAGTGGCTGAGTGGCTGCATCAGCCACTCTGGCAGAGCGGCTGAGTGGCTGAGTGGCTGCGGCAGAGTCATCAATCAATGAAATGGACGGATCAAGTTTTAAACATTTCAATATCCAAGCCAAGTATATGACATTGACAGCAACTTGATTTACAAACATAACCCTGTAAACTTCAACTGCCATAATGCCATAGCTACATAACTGCAACGGATTGATTAAGAACAACCACATATACACTTTGAACCATAACCTGAAATCACTTAAAAAGAAAGAGAGTGGTGATGAACTCTACAAGTTCAGGATTGGAAACAACTATTACAACGACTATTTGGTGAGCAAAGAATGGCTATGGTGTGCTGTAACCAGAGCAACAGATTTCAATTTCAATAATGAATATTTTTTTCAAAAATGATAAAGCCGACGAAGATATGTTTAAGAATTTAACTATTTTAAAAACAAGGTTGAAGGTTACAAAGGACAAGACAGAAAAGGAGGAAGAGAAATAGTTGATGAATACATTGATGAACATGTTTGAAGATGTTCAAGGGTTGTTGTGCAAACTGTGGAGTTAAATTTAATCTTGATACCAGAGGTGGCAAATTGTCAAGTAGCTTTACGGCGCAGAGACTGTGCCATTCTATTGACAACTGCGAGGCTTATTGTTGCCACTGCAATTCTTCTTCACATTAGTTTTTTTTTTTCAAAAGAATAAACTTAATAAAATATTGATATGAGCAAGCAAGAAATCATAGGAAACATATATTTTTATAAAGCAGGGTTTGGTTCCAAAAACACTACTTTGAAGGATGCAAGAGAGAAAAACAAATCTATTACTATGAAAGATGTTGAAGATTTTTTTCAAAAAGAGTGTAGAGATAAAAATGAACCTGAGAGGCTATAACAGCTTTGTTGCTCCACATAACAATCATAGATACCAAGTTGATATATTCTTTATTTCCAAAAACAAATTAAAGGTAAAACAAAGATACAGAGCTGGATTAGTCTGTATTGATTGTTTGAGTAAGTATGCTGTCGTAGTCCCAGTAAGAAGGAAAGAGACAGGCAGTGTTATTCAAGGAACAAAGAAAGCGATAGAGAAGATGGGCAAGAAACCTGAAATCATATACACCGACGACGAGAAAGCTACAGCAAGTGGTGAATTCCAAGCATATGTAGAAAGCGAAAGCATTGAATTGTATAGGACAAGAGGCCACCCTGCTTTTGCCGAGCGTTTTATAAAAACCTTTAGAGACAAATTATGCAAAAGAGTTGAGAACGATGAAAAGAATAAAAACTCAAATCTACAATGGATAGACTACATAGATGAAATTATGTTAACTTACAATAATAAAGTTGTGCATTCCGCTACTGGTCAAACACCGTATAACGCCAGAGATAAAGACAATGAATTCAAGTCAAGATTAAACATTGCAATGAAAGCAAAGAAACAGAGGCTCTATCCTGAACTATCTGTGGGAGACAAAGTAAAAATCAAAAGGAAGAAAGCAACGACGGAGAAGGAGAGAACCTCACACTTTTTGAAAGGTGAGTATACAGTAGAGTCCATTGATGAAAAATTGAATCAAACATATTATACATTAGAAGGATACAATAGACCACTATTGAGGCATGAATTGCTGAACATATAAATATTACCATTTATATCCATTTATAGGAAATCTACTTAAAGGAATATAATCTATCTATCTATATATATATATATATATTAAATATATATTAGCGAAATGTCATTCAGTGATACAAGTAGTGAACGTGAAATCAATCAAGAAGAATACATCAAACAAAAAATCTTAAGCTGTAAATGTAGTGAATATGCAACAATAAAATGAATTATCAACAATAATTTTACCGATGGTATTGGTAATAAAAATTGTGAATATGTAGCCTGTAAAGTTGCTCAAATATAACGAGTCATTTTGATTCAATTGAAATTGATATTAACCCGTGTGACGATGATGATATTGATGAACGAATTCAAATATACGTTGATAATACTTTAGTGAATGAATTTCCAGATGATAAAATTAATTTAATATTAAATGAAAAAGAAATGATACATTATCAAGATTATGGACAAGGATTGAAACAATGTTTTAACAATTTATATTCTACTGTTGCATTCTGCATGTTAGACATGAATATTAATGATGCTGATTATATGGATAATAACTTTAATCATGAAACCTTTTTAGATGGTTTAAGAAAAATATTGTTGTATATCAAAGACAATGAACAGTTTATTGGAAATACAATTATTGACGAGAGTAAGATTGACAAAGTGTATGAAAGAATGCAACAAAGAATTTATATTTGAACCCCATAAATTTTCATATCAGATAATATGACATTTTATGATATAAGGAAATACACTTAAAATTAAAAGGATAATACCTTATAATAGTATGGAGAGTAGAAAGTGCACAAAGTGTACGAAAAACAAAAACGGTGACGAGTTCAATGGAATGAATAGAATGTGTATTGAATGCTTGGACAAACAAAAGGAGAGTAACAAAGTATATAATCAAAAGGAAGTATTCTGCGACATTTGCCAACGGAATGTGAAACAATGCAGGTTGTCCAAACATCTTAAAACCGACAGGCATACCAACAAGGAAAAACTCAAAAAGGAAGAAGAGAAAAAACAAAAATATATGGAGGAATACTTAAAAGATGATGAAACCAGAATTGCAAAATTGAAACAAATCTGGAAAACCATTACACCAAAAAACTTAAAAATACTTTAACCCCATAATTTTTCATATCATAATATATGAAAATTTATGATACGAACATAGGAATGTTAGACGTGGATGATTTAGATTTATGATCAAAGGAAGTTTAGGGGGAGAAACTTCCGTGTTACGGACTTTTAGAATGTCAGGGAAAGAGTTAGTCAAAGAAAGAGTTAGTGAGGGAAAGAGTTAGTCAAACAAAGAGGTAGTCAAAGAAACAGTTAGTCAGGGAAAGAGTTAGTCAAAGAAAGAGTTAGTGAGGGAAAGAGTTAGCAAAGGAACAGTTAGTCAAAGAAACAGTTAGTCAGGGAAAGAGTTAGTTAAAGAAAGAGTTAGTCAAAGAAAGAATTAGTCAAAGAAACAGTTAGTCAGGGAAAGAGTTAGTCAAAGAAAGAGTTAGTGAGGGAAAGAGTTAGCCAAAGAAAGAGTTAGTCAAACAAAGAGTTAGTCAAAGAAACAGTTAGTCAGGGAAAGAGTTAGTCAAAGAAAGAGTTAGTGAGGGAAAGAGTTAGCAAAGAAACAGTTAGTCAAAGAAAGAGTTATCAAAGAAACAGTTAGTCAGGGAAAGAGTTAGTCAAAGAAAGAGTTAGTCAAAGAAAGAGTCAAAGTTAGTCAAAGAAAGAGTGAGTTTAGTTAGTCAAAGTCAGTTAGTCAGGGAGTTAGTTAGTCAAAGAAAGAGTTAGTGAGGGAAAGAGTTAGTCAAAGAAAGAGTTAGTGAGGGGAAGAGTTAGTCAAAGAA